TAAAAATTTACCTTCATATTAGAAAGAATTTTAAACTCACACTTCCAATTGGAGAATATTAAAGGAGAAAATGAGATAAAGCATTAATAACAGAACTCTAAGTCCTTCTTTTATAATATTCTATATATCCATAAATATACACATACACACATATACACATATCCGTACACATGCACACACACATACATATCCATATACATACATATATCTCTATATATACACATACACACATATACATATATATATATATGTATGTACTCATACATACACACATACACATGTAGATATACACCCACATACATACATACATATACACACATATATATCTACATATATAAACACATATATATATATACACACATACAAATATATACATATGCACATATACATACACATATATACATACATATACACATATATACACATATACACACACATATACATATACACATAGACACACATACACTAATATATACATATACATATGTGGCACCATTTACCAGGGCAAAAAGAAAAGAAAGGAAAAAGAGAAAGGAAAGAAAGGACAAGAGAGGCGAGACCCAATCGTGGATGATAGAAAAAACACCCACGACCAGAGACAATTGATAATGTTATTTTGATAAATAGAAAATGGCGAAAAAGGTGTCATTACAATGGCAAAAAGATTCTAGGTGGATGGGGGAATCGACTGTGTTCTGTCGAGGAACTTGTGTTATCGGGGGATAGATAAGAGCAGTTCAATGTGGAAAACATCTAATTAGCAAACCACAGACCGACTAGCCAAGAAAAACTCCAATTGAAAATGTTATTTTGATAATTGACAAAGAACAGGTGAAATACAGGGCTTTGGATAGATATGAAAAATTAACTGTGTCGTCTGCTGAGCCGCACACGAAGTAACGGTTGACCGTTTTTTTTTTGACAAAGACATCTTTGGCTGTGACAACAAAACTATGTTATCAGAAAGGTGCACCAGAGAATGACTAGAACCATGGAACTGTTTTTTTTTTTTTGTTTTTTTTTTTTTGAGGGTACGGACGACGATATTGTGTTGAGAAGACCACCCATTCTGATAATTAGCGATAATCTGACTGACGAAGTCCAGATGAGAACAAGGGTTATGACCACCACCGGTCGCATTGTTCTATCGGCGGCCAGAGAAAATGAGAACGATTAAAAGAAAGAAAAGGAAATGAAAAAGATAATTTTTTTTTTAAGCAAGATATATTTTTTCCCTGAAACAAAGCCCACGGGATCGTACACGCCCGGCTGGACATCATTGGCCGAGTGGTGATCACGTGACGCAAGGGGGAAGCTGTCGCTTCCCACCTAGAGGATGGGTATGAGAGTTTGCTACGAAGAAGTGGGGAGGGCAGTTGACGCCCCTCTTAAGTATGGTGAGAAGGTGGGAGTAAGAGAAGACTCCCAAAAATGGAAAGAAGTGGAAAATTCCTAACCAAAAATAAAAGAAGTGGATATGTATTTAGAATTATCGAGGAACCTCCGACGCCTACAAACCCACGCCGGTTTTGGTCGGCGTCCATATAAGCAAAGTCGCAGCGAGCAGAAATGAGTTACGTTCGGACTCCGGTTTCCCAAAGTCAGTCTCCAGTGCTCAGTTGAAGCAGGCCTCGCATCAGCTAACTAAGATTCGCGCAATTTCCGGACTCATCTTCAATCCAAGAACAACTTGTTTTGAAGAGCGACTTAGATCCATACCACCAAAATAAGTTTTTCGACTTTCACCTGAAGACACACCAAGAACCAATTTCTTAAAGAGCAGACAACTTGAAGTGTTAAAACTCGCCTAACGGAAAACAACGTGTCACAATCCATAGAACGGGTCGGGAGATAGACGCAGTCCTATGTAGCCAGCAACTAGACATAAAGTATTGTTATCCTTTTTTTTCTGATACCTTGAACTTTTGAGTTATCATTTTATTTCTTTTATACATATTTGTGCGATACCACCCTCGCTTGGACCCAACTTGCATTACGACCCTGACGACTGATTGATTTCGTCTGCCTAAGATCAATTCACAACGTGGGTAGGCAGACTGGAGATCAACGCAGTTACTTTGGTAACCAGACGTTGGAAGTGAGTTGGGAACGACGAGGCTGATATCGAATCTAACCAGATTCCCATCCAAATCACCAAAAGGTTAGAACGTCACATTTGGGTGCCGCGACCGATACCAAGCCAGTTGGTCGTCACAGGACGGAACAACACGACTGACGCAAACAGGCGGACGTCACGTTTGGAGCGGCGACACCCGAACGAAGCAGCGAGGAGCGAGCGAAGGCTGTTTAGGGACGTCACACATATATATGCCCACATGTGCGTGCATGCAAAAAACATATCAATATTCATACGTAATTATATTATTATATCTATATTCTCCCATATTATATATATGAACTCACAAATTCTTATATATATACATACATACATACATACATACACAGATTACCCGCCATCCTATATCTATGGCACGACATACATGTACCCATCTATATATACACACCCACACTCACACATACATATATAGAAATTATAAAAAATTATATAAACACACATCCACACATATACATGTACCCACATACCCACACACATACATATATACACCCATATATACATACAACTACATATATTTTTACAAAAAAAACACGATCACCTATATACATACAAGTATATATACATACATATCCATATCAATACCCACCCATTTATTGATTAACTTAATTAAATCTTGTTCAAAAGGTTCTAATAATTTATTGCTTGGTGGAGTGTTTTGAGATTTCAAGTAAAAAGCGTCATTAAGTTTTGTGGGTTTTTTGGGGGGATTAAAATGGAAGTAAATTTTCCACCTCATTCTTTTGATGACGGCAATGATTTTTCCGTCAAAGACATGGTGAAAGATTCAATAGTAGGGTAAAGAATGTTTTTGAGTGAGTAGTCCGGTGTAAATTTATCCATTTTAGATGGGAGGTAATCCAAAGAGTGCTTAACTTATATTATAAGGAGCTAATATTTAGCTTATGAAAAACTAGGTAATCCGTATGGGTAGACCCAAGGAGGATAAAATCCAGAGAGCTCAATGTAAATCCAGAGCAAATAATCTAAATAAAAACAGACCACTTTAAGGTTCCATGTAATAAATTATTTCACCACAGCCCTTTTAAAGGACTGCGGATCATCAGACTATATATATATATATATATATATATATATATATATATATATATATATATATATATAATTAATACAAATAAAATCTTTGTTACTTGGCTGACTGGTGCTCATTATCCCAACTCTACTTTTTCGTAGACGAACCCTCACGGTTATCACTCTATGCACTCATCAGGCGGTATTAGCAATTATATACTACTAATAAATAAAGCGTGTGTGTGTGTGTGTGTTAAATTTTGTCACATAGATGATTGATGTTACCTTTAACATCCCGACTCCAGAGTTTCGTAGGCGGACCTGTTTGTTCACTCTTCAGCGGGTATCAGAAATGTTTGTATGTATACATTGGAACCTCGATTTACGAACAATTAAACTTATGAAAAAATCGTCATACGAACAAAAATTTATCAGAAAATTATATATATATATATATATATATATATATCAGTCTGTTCATATCTATCTATATCTATCTATCTCAGTCTGTTAGTCAAAAGCAAAACTGCTCCCTATTACTCATCACAGAGAACCATCCCTGTCTCCCATTAGAATCTCTGACGCTCAACTCTACGAGAGCTCCTCTTTGCTGACTGCTCAACCTCACATTGACTGCTGACCTAAGATAGAACAAATACATTGAGTCAATACCTTCGTCCACCGCAAGGAAAGTTGGTTCCCTGTGGCGCACCAGGAAATTTTTCTCCCCGGAATCGATCCTTCAGATCTATAAATCAACAATTCGCCCTTGCATGGAGGATTGCTGTCATATATGGTCTGGAGACCCTTCTGTTTGCCTCGGGGTTCTTGATAAGCTCCAGAGGCGGATATGCAATATAATTGGCCCTGTTCTGGCATCTCGTCTACAGTCACTCTCTCACAGACGCGCCGTCGCCTCCCTCTGTCTTTTTTTACAAATACTTTCATGGTAACTGCTCCGATGAGCTGCTTTCGCTGGTTCCCAGACTTCATGAATTTAAGCGTTCTACTAGACTGGCATCTCGCTCTCACCCTTTCACTGTCGAAACTGTTAAATGTAGCCGTCTCTTCTACTCCAATAGCTTCATATCTCGCACCTCTCGCCTGTGGAACTCCCTCCCCTTTTCTTGTTTCCCTGATAGCTCTAATCTCCAACTATTCAAATGTAATGTCAATCGACGTCTCCAAATGCCCGGATCTATCCGCTATTCTTCTCTTCATCCTTTCCTATATCACTCCTTGGTCTCACTCCAACTCTCTGTAGCCCTTTGCGTGCTAGTGGCTTCCTGCGTTGCTTGGGGTGAAACGCTTAATATATATATATATATATATATATATATATATATATATATATATATATAATGAGGATCAGCAAAACCTTGTAGAATTCCAGTCGTGTTTGTTAGATTCACCCGGGTAAGGTACTAATCCATCACCCTATGGATTAATAGCAGGACAAACTGGATGGAAAAGGCAAAAGATAAACACTGAATTCGAACCAACCTGAAGAAAGATGGCTGCGTCAGGCTAAGATGGCCAAGAAACAGCACTGGCGAAACGGCAGCAGTAAATGTTGTGTCCCCCCACCTAACCACCCACTATTCTAGTGGCTACGGGACTCGTGTTTGTCTCTCATGTATTGTTGTCACAAAGTCTAACGTCTGAGGCCAGTAAATGTACTTAGACGTCACTTGCCTCAGTGTCACATATTTTGAATTCAGAATTTTCATTCTCCTAGTTGCCGCTTGGGGTAAGAAAGTCTAGCCTACATTATCATTTACTTAGAGATTCACGCGTTTTCAAAGTCATTGACGCGAAGAGAAGGAATTTAAATTCAACTTTCCGCACCAGTAACCGTTTCGCTGCCTGCACATATATTGTTAGATAGATACATAGATAGATAATGAACAGGCGAAGATAGATAGATAGATAGATAGATAGATAGATAGATAGATATTGACAGAGGAAGATAGTTATTGAACAAGCTAAGATAGATAGATAGATATGAAAAGATTGAAATAGATAGATGGATATGAACAGACTGTGATAGATAGATAGATAGATAGATAGATAGATAGATAGATAGATAGATAGATATTGACAGAGGGATCGATGAAAATATCATTGACGTCTCATTTTAACAGATATATTTACCAAAATTACACAAAAATATCTTGAAATTCTAAAAAATAAAGTTATTCAATAAAAATGCCATTGGCTTTAACCACGACCTCCAGAAGACTTCGGAATCTCCTGCAACTCTTCTGGACGGTCTCCTTGTTTAAGTTGGCGAATGCTGCCATAATCCTTGCCTTCAGTTCATCTTTGGTGTTACAAGGAGTTTTGTTGGTCTCTTGCTCAAATATGCCCCACACATAATAATTGAGGGAGTTGCAGTCTGGAGAGTTAGGTGGCCGGATGTAAAGAGTGATGTAGTCGCATAAATTGTCTGACAGTCATGACTAGGTTCTCCTGCTTGTGTGGCATGGTGCAGAGTCCTGTTGCGAGACATGGGGTCTTCCAGCAGCCATCCTCTTGACTCAGGGCATCACTACCTCCTCAAGGCAATTGAAGTAGCTCTCCGTGTTGAGTCTGAGACCTTCAGCAACTAATTCGCGAGCTCTTTTCTTATCATAACGGTAAAAGTCAGTTTTCCGAGCTGCCGTATCTTCGCAATCACCATTAGACTCATCCAACTCTTTCCGAATCCTCTGCACACTCTTCAGATTGACACCAAAACATTCTGAAATGTTGGAGCTTCCGACACGAATGCCAAGCAGTACAGCATGCCGTTGCCAAATTCCAAGTGAATTGCGTCATGGTGGTCTTTTTCTCATAGACGGTGCCCAACTGACCATACTATAGTGTGCAATTGACAAAATCAAAAACAAACAACGCGCATGCGCGAAATTAAAACATAAAATGGCGGCAATTTACCCATTGCACGTTGTATCTGGATATATGTATGTATGTTTGTATATACGTATAGATTTGCTCACATCTATCCATATCAGTCTCTTGAAATTTATATATCAAACTCACCTTACACACACACACACACACACACATAGATAGATAGATAGATAGATAGATAGATAGATAGATAGATAGATAGATTGAGAAAGAGAGAGAGAGTGAGAGAGAGATAATATGCCGGTGAAAGATGTTCGAGAGATAAAAAATATTTTCGATAATAAGACTAATAATATTTATTATATATTAGTCAGTTTTTTTTGTCCATATCGAAGCATGATAAGAAAAATGTTAAATATCAGAATTTTCGGACACGCCTGTGACCTTTTTCCACGAGACGAGAAACAGAAAATGAAAAATTACGTAAGGGTTTTCTAGGGAATTTTTTTTGTAAGAAGCATATGTGGACAATCTTTCTTTGCTATAGACACACACGCACACACATACACACACACACTCACAAACACACACACACACACACATATATATATATATGTGTGTATAGCAAACATTAAAATATATTTTTACCTTATATATATATAGATAGAAAGATAGATAGATATATAAGGTAAAAATATATATTTAATGTTTGATATACTTATGGATGAAAGTGTACAATATCAGCGATAGAGCGTATGTAATTATAAAATTTCCATAGCAGTCAACACCCAACGCGGCAACAGTGTGTTTCATGCTTAAACGCTATCGTCAGGTCATATATATATATATATATATATATATAAACACATACACACATTATATATATATAATGTGTACGTATGTGTACTCCTATCTATCTATCTATCTATCTATCTATCTATCTATCTATCTATCTATCTATCTATCTATTCTGTTTATGTCTCTTTCATTCCCCTTCTTTCTCTGTTTTTATAGATGTATGTGCGTTCATTTGAACAGTTACATAATCATATATATATATATATATATATATATATATATATAGAGAGAGAGAGAGAGAGAGAGAGAGATAACAAACAGAAACAAATAAATAGCTATAGATAGATAGATAGATACAGATTTTAACCAGACAGCCAGGTTTTGCTACTGAGTACATTTTCACACGAACAACCCATGCGTAACCAAGAACATTTGGCCCTAAGCCTGATATTGAATCACTTTTAAGGATTGGTATTTTCCTAGCAACAATCGAGTGTCGATTGGACAAGAAAAGAGCTTAATGTACGAGATGTATAAAAAAAAAAAGCCATTTGATATGTACAGTTATGATGGATTTTGGTTACGGGTCAAAGGTGACGTGGTGTATTTCTTAGAATTTTTTCGCCTCATTGCGACGGTATTTTCTGCTGAACCCGCGACTACAGTGAAATGGTCGACTGCACATCTAGAGACTTATTCACCTCGCCGTTTTATATAGCAACTCAAGGGCCAAACAAGGAAGTTTATAATAAACAGATGCCATTATATTTCATTATATCTTGATACAAATAGGCTTCATTATTTGTTACTTTCTTTCGTTTTGTCTATACGGATGGCTGAGTTCTTAAAACTGACACCAGTATTGCACAGACCATGATTTCTTCTTTTTTTTAAAAAAAAAATCAACCAAATGTTAGATGCTTACAGTCGACATTGTTATGATGAATGATGTGTGTTGTATGAATGGACTAGTAGGTGACGAATATCAGGAAAATAAAGCGGATAAATAACGAAAAGAGTCTAAGGTTGAGTTTTTCAGGGAAGCACCCACGCGGGAGTCTGTTTTATAAAATAGCAGATCTTAGGAGGAAGCTGAGTGAAATTTCGTTCTCACACATGGAACACTGGAGAAATATTGAAGATTCGACTCCTTCCAAATAGCTCGACGCCTGCGAATTGTAATGGACTTAACTGGTAGAATTCGAGAATGAAGCTTGTCTGAACCTTGGTAAAATTAACCATCTCCATATAGAAAACATTCAGCATTTACTGACTGAAAATTCGATTTTACTGTCCATTATTTACATTATTCGGACTATTGTCCTCATCTTTGTCGCCATATTTATTACAACATTTCAGCCGTTGTACGCTCCTCAAGGACACATGGCACAGTGGATAAAGGCGTTAGTTAGATCCAGTGACAGGACCCAAATAGTGTGAGTTCAATACCCGGTTAAGGCAGTGGAGAACTTTCAGAGGGAAATTAACAGGAGATAACTGATAACTGACATCCATTAAACATGTCACGTGGAACTAGAACAGTATACCCCAGTGAGCGAAATAAATGATTCAGTTCGACATTCCAACCACCTGAAGAAGGCCGGAGCGTACAACGGTCGAAACGTTGTAATAAATATGGCGACAAAGATGAGCACAATAGTCCAAATAATGTAAATAGTGTACATAATACCTCATCTCAGAAATATAGACAGATACTGAAAGGCCGAAACGTTGTAATAAATATGGCGACAAAGATGAAGACAATAGTCCGAATAATGTAAATAATGTACATCGTACCTCATCTCAGAAATATAGACAGATACTGAAAGGCCGAAACGTTGTAATAAATATGGCGACAAAGATGAGGACAATAGTCCAAATAAATAGTGTACATAATACCTCATCTCAGAAATATAGACAGATGCGGTTTTACTTTTCTTAAATTATGTTTCTGAAAGCAGTTTTTCAGGAAAATAAATTTCTCCATTCTACTAAATGTTATAGCTCTTTCAATTATTACGTCATTCGCGGAATAATGTCTGATTATAAAAGAAACATTTTTCTTTCTAATATATTATTGTAATAGTTGCAGTAAAATATATTACTTATTCATAATGATTAAAGAGTCCTTTTTGTCAATCGTATATCAAACTTTTCTTTTTTCTTTTGCATGAGTTCAAGCTTGCTCATACTGTCGCCAACATTAACAGAGTTCGGGGTGAAGGATTATCGATGAGTATGGTCTGATTTCTGAAGATCTGAAATGATGATACGAGTCTTGAAGTTCAAGGTTGTATAGGACGTCCGTCACCAATTGACACGCATCATCTAAAAACACCGATCCAACAAAACCCACGAACTATTTCTTTAAAAAAAAAAACCGCCTCGTTCTTGAACAGCTTAAGTTTATAGTGGTCGGAAAAACATCCTCTTGGGAGTCGGTTCCACAGAGCAGTCGCTCATGACAATAAGCTGCTCGAGTGGAACTTACTTCGCACCAAAGAGAATGTGGGTAGTTTCTTACAATGTGTGTATCATGGCGGGTCTTATTGACATTTGATTAATTCGCTACTCGATTGGTGATGAGGAAAACAGTCCGAACAATGTAAATAGTGTAAATCTATTCTTGATAATGTACATTATCATTCATCTTAATGAGGAATCCATTTGCTGATCTTTGTAGAACTTTAGGGACATGTATATGATGTTTTTAATTATAATGACAATGGTGAAATACAGGAAGCATCAGTTATACATTGATCGAACAGTTAATGTTATTGTTGACTGAAATAATAAAACATTTTTTGATCGAATAATGACTTATGTTCAGAAATGAATCCTTTATGACTATCGTTAACGATCGGCTCAATATTTTGATCATGACTAAAGGACCAGAGGGTTTGGTTTGGTTTGTTTTACGGCATATCAACACCTCAATGGGTTATTTAATGCCGACAAGATTTTTATTGCTGGTAATATTTTTTTTCAAAAATCCATTGGTGGTAATAACGTATTGCAGGTAATAATTTTTTCTTCAAAAACTCATCGTTCATTATTTCTTTGTTTTGTTTTATTTTACGGTTTATCAACCACAATGGGTTATTTAAAGCCGACAAAATTTTATTACTGGTAATATTTTTTTTCAAAGGTATTGCTGGTAAAAAATTTTCCTTCAAAAATCTATTTCTGGTAATATTTTTTCTTCAAACTATTTGTAATATTTTTTTTATTTTCAAAAAATTATAGCTCGTAATATTTTTTTCAAAAATGTATTGCTGGTAATAATTGTTTTCTTCAAAAACTTATAGCTGGTAATAATTTTTTACCAAGTATTTCTGGTCTTAAAACCTATTTTTACACTTTTATAGTGTTTTGTACCCAGATTAGGTGTTAACTATTTACCCATAACTGGGACCCTAACAGATGCTACCACACCGGGTCAGGGTTGACCTGGGAACATCAGCAATTGAGACGTGGTTCCACGTTACTCAAAACCTCCCGATCAGAGGGCTTGCTATTGGACGTAGCTTATCGTATTCCCCAGGACGTAGATGTAGTTTATCGTCTTACCCAGGGCGCGGACGTAGTTTATCGTATTCCCCAGGACGCGAATGTAGTTTATCGTATTCCCCAGGACGCGGACGTAGTTTATCGTTTTCCCCAGGACGCGGAGGTAGTTTATCGTCTTACCCAGGACGGAAGGTACCTAAGACTTTCCGAAAACGAAACAGAAAATTATGGTGACTACCTGGTGATCTACCACCGATATTATCGACTAGAGCTTGCTGGAATCTAACCAAATGATCACTGTCGAAGTTTACTACCAGCAACTGGATAAAATTCACATTCAGTTAAACAAATTACAATTGGTACCCGTTCGTTACTCAAAGAGATTCAATTCTGATTCATGGCAAAGCGTGGCCATGGTGTCACCACAGAAACTTACCGAATTGGGATACGAATTTTTTCCCACATCCATCATGTTTCCCTGACGAATACCTAATGATATATATATATATATATATATATATATAGGCAAGCGATCCTTCTTTCAGTCAAGTTTCATTGAATATGAGAGACAAGTGCTTTAAGTTTTTATACAATTTCTCATGTGATCTTATATATATATATATATATATATATATATATATATATATATATATATATATTTTTTAGAGATCTGTTTCGTCTTGGGGTCGTTAAAATTAACAACCCACTCCTTGTTTAGGATCAATAACTTCTTTGAATTTTATCAAGAACCTCTAAACATATAGCATCAGACCAGATGTGGCAGCGATATTCAAAGCATGGATGAACGTTAAACTTATGTAAGATAGATTCAGGAAAGAAAAATTGTCTAACATGACACAGTGAACTAACTTTCATAGCAGCAGACCTAGTAATGTATTCAATGTAATCTTTCCACTTCATGTCTGCAGAAAACATTAGCCCAAGGCGGCAAAATGAATCACTCTCCTGGAAGTTAACATCAGCCAAAAAAAATGGTTCTCTAAGACAATTAAAAGAGCAGTTTTGTTTTTGGAGACATTAAAATTAACAAGATATTTCTTGTCCCACTTAACAACATATTGTAGGTCATTTTTGAGGTCGGCTGCCAATTTGACCATATCAAACCAATCAGACTTATTATTAAGAGGTAGTAAATAAGTGTGTCATCCACATAGATACCAAGTTGAGAACTGATGACATCAGGAAGATGAAAATTAGGAACAATCTCGGTCCAAGGATAGAGCCTAAAGAAGATTTGTATTAACACAAAAATATCTAAAAAAGTGGCTGTTTAAGACAACATTCACTTTGCAATTTGATAAGAAAGACTGAATCAGTTCAAAAATTTGTCCATAAATACTATAACCTTTCAACTTGTGAAGAAGGTGAGAATGTCAATTGCCTTTGAGATATCCAAAGCAACAGCCCAAGCTTCACCATTTTTATGTAATGCCTGATACACTCTTTCAGCAATAATCATTAATACATCATCAGCTGACCTGGAGAAGTGAAAGCCACACTGCTTATCTGAAAGGGAGAAATTGTCTAGTATAACAAAGTGAAGGTATAGTGAGTCGCTCTCCTGAAAGTTAGCATCAGTCTTGCTGATGGAAGTCAAAAAGAGTTCTCTTAGATAATTAAAAGAAAGCAGTATCATTTTGAATGCATTAAAATTAACAAGCCATTCCTTGCCCCATTTAACAATAGATTGTTGGTCATTTTTTAGATCAGCTGTCAATTTGACCTTATCGAACTGATCATACTTACTATTTAGACAAGAGGAAATAGTTTGTCCGAGTATATTTTTATCATCTCTGATTACTATCAGTTGCATTAACGCTGTCAGTATCATAGAGAAATGTTTTTATTAGCATCATGCTGACATTTTTAAATATAGAATTTAAATATTTCTTCTTCAAGTGTTGTGCTGAACTGATTCGCACCAGAGAAGAGCGATATTAAATATTTTACACATTTTAAAATTCCGTCCCCGAAAGATATTTCATGTGGGCTGACGTTTATTTTTATTTTTTTATCTTTTGCTTTATATAATTCAAGTTTTTCTTTATAAAGCGTGTTCCAATAAATTGACCTGATTTTAAATGTTAATTAAGTTTAAGCGTCTAACGATTTTCTTCATTTTCTTTCAGATTTGGCGGACATTTGGGTGATTTTTCACACATAATTGCCATGACTTAAATAGTAAGATCCAATAGAGAAATAAATAAATTTTCACCAATAACACTCATTTATTTACAGCTGACCTTGATCCATCTTAATGAAACACCCTTATATATAATGCGTCTTAATGATACACCCTTTAGTTCGAATTTTAGTATTATCTACTAATATTTCATATGCTAATAACTATTTTGGTTGTAATATGTGATATATCGACTGCTGTACGTATTACACGGATTCCCCAACTTATTTCACTGGTATAAAATACGCGTGTGTATTTATACTTTGCTTTGATATAATAGGAGTAGACAGGTTCGCCTGTCGTCCGGTTCACACTCCTCTCCAGTCTTTTGAACTGGAGGTTTATCCCTTGATTCCTGTTTAGAATTGGGTTTCCGGTTGCTTCTAAATTCTCCTTCAACTGTATACTTCCAACGCCTCCGGCTAAACTCTGAAATTTTATTTACATTTTTTCCCAAAACAAGTATAGGCCCACCCATCACCCAATTCGCACTCCTATACCATCTTTTGAACAGGAGTGGAGGTTTATCCCCCCCCCCTTAGTTCCCGATTTAGAATTGGTTTCTGCTTTCTTCTAAAGATTTTCTATTCTCTTTCACTCCCAGTAATCCATGGCATCTTTGTGGTATTATCGCCTTGCTTGGGGTGAATAAATATATATATATATATATATATATATAATAAATTATATATATATACAATAAATTATATATATATGTAAATTATTATATATATAATAAAATATATATATATATATATATATATATATATATATATATATAATAAATTTTCTGATTTCTTTTTTGAATTTATAGGTCTGATGAATTGGTTCGTAATTACGATTTCAATTTAATAAATTATAACCATGAAATATTAGTGTTTAAGCCTTTTATTATATTCTTACTCCGTCCTGGACATTGAGTTCTATCTGGATTCTATCCTCTTGGAAATTTTTACATATATTTGTATGTGTATATATATATATATATATATATATATATATGTGTGTGTGTGTGTGTGTGTGTGTGTGTGTGTGTGTGTGTGTGTGTGTGTGTGTAAATAAGTAGCAGACTGAGTATGCGTGGATAGATATGAATAGACTTCAAGAGATATATGCAGATAGATAGATAGATAGATAGATAGATAGATAGATAGATAGATAGATAGATAGATAGATAAGAAAAAAGAAGCCAAGAAAGAAAGTATAGGAGAAAGAGAGAGAGAATGAAAGAAAAAGAAAGAAATTAAGTAAGTGAGTGTAGGAAATAGATAGATAGATAGATAGATAGATAGATAGATAGATAGATAGATAGATAGATAGATAGATAGATAGATTCTTTCAAACATGTTTACATCAGATTTGATATTAATTACGTTTCTGTGTAAATCTTAGTAATGCGGGCGTAATTCTCTCGCATTTTTAATTACAGACATGCATGTGTTCCTCGCCTCACATGGAGCATCCGTAAAATACGTTCAAGTCTCTTAACAAATAAACTGTATTTTATGATCAAATCAACCGCCATTTTCCTTTCGACCCTCGCCCTCTATATATCACAATTGCCCGTCGCCGTGGCAAGTCAAGTTGAGTTAATCCGTTCGTTTCGATTGACTGATAATCCCCGGGAGATCATTCTACTGTTTCCACTTCAGCAGTTTACTAAATCGAACATCAGAGTTAAATAAAATTGTCGCAGGGTTTCTTTTTGGGTGAAATTTTGATCATTAGTAAGGAAGGAGAGATAAACAAAGATTAAACATCTTAATAAAAAATATACACATGAAATATATACGTAAACATGAGATACACAACACCCATGAGAAACATGAAAAAAATTCTCCTAAATATTCTAGATACACACAAATCTACTCACAGAATTGCAGATACACTGAAATATCTTGTAATTAAAACCGCATCGTCTACTATATATATATATATATATATATATATATATATATATATATAAACGTAATTAATAAGCAATAAGAATTAAGAAATACTAGCGTGACCCGTGGAATTTCCACGGACTCACTAATAGAATATTGAGTAAACAGTAAACTTTTTCTACATATATGTATGGATAAAAAAAAAACACATGGAAGCAGGAGCAATTAAAATCTCTAGATATATAATAGAATGATGTACTTAGGCAGCAAATAGTCAAATTGCGTATATTTGTGCAGGTATATTTACAAATGCATAACATTTAACTATTAAATCTATCATTTTTTTAACATACAATACTCATAGGGTGGGAAAATAAAAAGAACATAGAGATACTTGGGAGTGGCCACCATGTGTGCAAACATTGCCAATGCCAATCAGTCCGTGGTACCCCCTCCCAGCATAGAGCCATGCTGTTTTCCTCCGATATAAATACAAAAAATAGACCTATATATGTAAAAAAAAAACTATATAATACATACCACATATACATAGTTTCCTCTTTTGAAAGACATTCATTTAATATATATATATATATATATTGCTGCTATATATGGTCTGGAGCCCCTTCTGTTTGCCTCGGGGTTCTTGATAGGCTCCAGAGGCGGATATGCAATATAATTGGCCTTGCTCTGGCATCTCGTCTACAGTCACTTTCTCACAGACGCGTCGTCGCCTCTCTCTGTCTTTTTTTCAAATACTTTCATGGCAATTGCTCCGAGGATCTGCATTCGCTGGTTCCCAGACTTCATGAGTTCAAGCGCCCTACGAGGCTGGCATCCCACTCTCACCCTTTCTCTGTCGAAACTCCTAAATATAGCCGTCTCTTCTACTACGCAAATATGAAATTATGATATTAAACATATAAGTTTTACCATAACCTCCTGGTGCATCTACATAGAAACAGGAGTTTGGGGGCACCTCACCTCTCCTCTTCTTATCTACAGATTCAATCACAGCAACCTGTTCATCAGTAAGTTTTGCAATACCTGAGTGATCAAGGTCTTCATGATGATCAAGCTGTGGTACTCCAATAGGCTCAGACAGCCCAATTGCTAAATAATTAGTGTCATTCTCAATCAGAATTGCACCAATTGAGTACAGTTCCATGTTTTCTGTATGGTCTGCATTAAAACCTTGGTAAAAGAAATCTTCAATCATCGATTCCTTGTGAGTGGTCCACAGGTGAAAAGAATTTACAGGATTCATATACGTACACAGGGCAGCAAACATAACATGCAACTGACAGGCAGCAGTTTCTAGCAATGCATGTTCCAGTGTGTCATCGTTTGAAAGACAAATCAACCATTCGCCCTTGCATGGAGTATTGCTGCCATATATAGTCTGGAGCCCCTTATGTTTGCTTCGAGGTACTGGATAAGATCCAGAGACGGATATGCAATGTAATTGGCCCTGTTCTGGCATCCCTCTGCAGTCACTCTCTCATAGACGTGCCATCGCCTCTCTTTGTCTTTTTTTTTAATAAATACTTTCATGGTAATTGCTCCGATGAGCTGCTTTCACTGGTTCCCAGACTCCATGAATTCAAGCGCCCTACGAGGCTGGCATCCCGCTCCCACCCTTTAACTGTTGAAACTGTTAAATGTAGCCGTCTCTTCTACTCCAATAGCTTCATACCTCGCACCTCTCGCATGTGGAACTCCCTTCCCTATTGCTGTTTCCCTGAGATCTATAATCTCCAACTATTCAAATGTAATGCCAATCGACATCTCCAGTTGCCTTGATCTATCCACTATCCTTTCCTATATCACTCCTGTCTGATCTTGCTCCAAATCCTCTTTAACCCCTTGCGTGCTAGGAGCTTCCTGCCTTGCTTAGGGTGTGTTATGGGATCTTACCCATAATAATAATAATAATGGACTATTTCATACTTAATAAATACTGCGCCTCAGGAGTAGGCAAGGAGTCAGTTGAGTCAGTAATTTCTGGGCGACTGTTCGGTTAAACTCTCTTCCTACGGGCGGGAGGAACCCGAAGGAGGCTACGCCGAAGGGCGGAGTCTCCTTCGGGGAGGTAAAACCGGCCCAGAACCCGTTTATACGGGTTCAAAAATGCTATTTTTGGCCGAGCCTAATGGCTCGGGGAATGCCCACGTTAAAAAGGCCTTGTGCCACATGACACCCTCGTGGGGGGGTGACTGAATATTGTCAGTTGAGTCAGTAGTTCAAGCGAAGTCAGTAGTTCAAGCGGAGTCAGTAGTTCAAGAGTCGAGTCAGAGGCAGTCCGAAACAGAGTCACGTTCAGACAATTACTGCAAGATATTGGAATAGTGATACTGGTCGAGACTACATTGACATTGTTCTCCCTACTAAATCTGATTGTTCATACTAACACTTCTACTTCTCTGTATATATATATCCTGTTTGTAATATATCTGTGTTATTCCATACATGTGTTCGAGTTCTTCTTTATTGGTTCTACCTTGGACCATCACCGTGGTACAAGGAACCGGACCATAACAGGGTGAAACGCTTAAAAAAAAAGTTCATATCTCAGTCACGCTGCCTTAAACGTTGGAAAGATTTCCCCTACAGTTTGCAAATCCTGGAAGATCACGATACCTGAAATATGCAGCCGCAACATTCGCAAATTTTTCTCTCTCAATGGCTCATATTCTACCGATCGTATTCCTCTACCTTAATGTTCATCTTCTAGAGTGCCTATTAAACACTTAATGCAGCGGAGTGTCAGGATACAAGTAGTTCCTTGCATCATCATCATGCTCATTTAGTTTAAACCATGCAGTGAGGGTAATGTCATGGTTCCTCTTTGCTTGAGTAACTTGCTGAGCATTGCCTCTGTGAAAATAAACTCTTTGCTGGTCTTCAAGATGTACAGCAAGTCTGTAGACATTGTGAGATGTGTCATGTAGCTTGAACTCTGACAGTCTCCACATAGCTTTCAGTGGAGAAACATATTGGCAAGAAAGATAATTAGTAATTTCTTAGTGATTTTTGTTCACGATCTGCTGCTGGGATGTCTCTTACTTCAACAGAAGCATGTCCTTTGTACACGTACTTGAAGATATATTTAATGCTTTTCACTGATGAACAAATTTCAAAAGCCTGTTGAGAAACAGTGAAATAAATAGTTACAATGCCTCATCTCAGAAATAGACAGATCCTGAAGAAGGTTGAAGTGTACTTTGTGAGCTTGATTCTGTCCACGATCTGCTGCTGGGATGTCTCTTACTTCAACAGAAGCATATTCATGTCCCTTTTACATGTACTTGGAGATATATTTAATGCTTTTCACTGATGAACAAATTTCTACATTAATGTGAGCTCTGTACTTTTTCAGCGGGTAGGCATTGTGAGGTACAATGTACCTATTGTCAACTGAGTGACGTCCAACTTGAACTGTAACTCCAGCTTTGCGTTTTCTGTACAATGGATAGCCATTCAATTTCAGGAGCGTTTCATTTCTGTAGTTCTTTGCGAATTTCTTTTGGCCCGAGCCATTTTCCATGCAAAGGGAAGAAAGATTATCTGTTCTGCAAGGACCATGTATGATGCATTTTTTTTTTTTTTTTTACTAAATCATGCAAGACTGGATCATCATTGGCATCAGTAATTTCAGCTGTAACGATCCTATCTAAGTCATCGCTGCCTTATCCGCTGTCCGTAGAGCCTCATACTCCCGAAAGCAGCGTCCATTTTTGGCTGCCTGTTCATAATGAATGCAGTTTATAAGCACAAAAGTATGAACCTTCACTTTTTCGTGATACCTAAGGTTTAAAAGGAATTTTAATAAATAGAAAAGATTTCTTGAAAAATTAAATCCTTTAGCTTTCAATTAAAGATAAAATTGAAAGCTAAAGGATTTAATTTTTACTATTTCCAGTAAGCATAATACTCTGGTCTATTTCAAATATAACTTATAGTGATTTGAATCGAATTTTTTGGTCGCTCGTAAAAACGGCCATTTTTGCATATCGAGCAAATTTGTAAACAAACGTTAATTCTCAGTTTTAAAAATTGTGTAACCACTGCCAATAACTAAAATGAGAAAACTAATTTCAAATGCGAATGAAATAAAGTCTAAAAATAATTAAATTAAACAGTAGATTTAAAATTCAGTTCAAGATGTTAAAACAACTGTAACATAAAAAAAAATAAAGAAAGAAAAAGTAAATTAAAAACTAAAAAAATTATAAAATAGGAGTTAAATATAAAACTAATTTGAAAGGAAATTGCAAAATGACATGCAAATTAAAAAAATAAGAATTTCAAATAGAAATTTAATTAGAAAGATAAGTTAAAGTACAATTTATTTTTTCTACTAAAATATTAATAAATGCATAGAATAAATATATTTAGTGAAACATAAATTCTAAAAGTAAAACTTACTTTCAAATTTTGAAGGGATAATTTTCAAAACC